TCTCACCTTCGTGCGCCAAAGAGGCTCTCTTTATACGAAGCAGCGGTGAGCGTTTGTGTGCCTGTGCTCCACTTTCTCTCGTGGTCAACCTCCTTGTCCAACTACATATGTATTGTCGTGTTCAAGGGCCAGTTCCTTCCGTGACGTCGTGAACACCGGCGTGACCCTACATTGTCATTGAAACTTCTCTTCTGTTGTCCTCGCACCGCAATGGCCATCTCACTGGACTCTTCTGTCCTAGATCAACTGAACACTACCAAGGCAAGAAAGCTTCATAAGCTGACAGACAGACTGAGCGCCTATGGCGTTGGCAGGACTTTGAACCTCCCGCAGATCATTGTTGTTGGCGAGCAGTCGGCGGGAAAGTCATCCGTCTTGGAAGCCCTTTCTCACGTCCGCTTCCCCGTCAAAGGGGACCTCTGTACTCGATTCGCAACAGAGATTGTCCTTCGTCGGGCGAGGCAGACCCGTGTGCATGTTAGTGTCCGGTTCGACGACAAGTCCAAGCCATCTTGGACGAGCCACAGAGTGGGATTCACCGAAGATGATCTTCCAGACATTATCGAAGAGGCCAAAGAAGCCATGGGAATAGATTCCACAGGCAGAGACTTTTGCAATGATATTTTACGGCTAGAGATCGAGAGTCATAACCTGTATCCGCTGACTCTCGTGGACCTTCCCGGGCTGTGCGAGACAGCAACCCAGTCCATGCGAGGCAAGGAAACCGTCGACCAGCTTGTGCAAAGCTACATGAGGCACAAAAACAGCATCATTCTAGTTGTCGTCGCTGCGAACAATCAGCTCGCCAACCAGATTGCTCTGGAAAAGGCTAAGGAATTCGATCCGAATCGCGAGCGAACACTGGGCGTCATTACCAAGCCTGATCTTACATGGCCGGGAACGCCCGAGGAAAGCGACTACATACAACTAGCCAGGAACCAAGACGGAGCACATAGGCTTAAACTCGGTTGGCACGTCTTGTGTAATAGAGCAGACGATGGAGACACCCTGGGCACCCGTGATGCCACCGAGGCAAGCTTTTTCGAGACGACTGAATGGGATACGATTTCAAAACATCATCGTGGGATTGTTAGTCTGCGCAAGAAACTAAGCGAGGTTCTTTCTAGCCATATCCGGCAGAATTTGTCTGCTTTGATGGATGACATAGGAGGAAAACTTAGGGAGAGGCAAGAACAACTTGACCAATTAGGAGAATCGAGGCCGAGCTCTAAAGAGATGCGGTCATTTCTCCTCAATATCTCACCAAGGTTTCAAAAGCTGGTACATGACGGCATCTATGGCAGATACGACGATCCGTTCTTTGGCGATTTAGGCGATACAAACCGCAAGTTACGCTCCCAGCTGAGAAATTTTAATCTCGCCTTTGACTTTGTGCTAGCAACAAGGGGATCCAGGATTGCAATTGCGCCAGACGACGACTGGCGCAATGCACAGCTCCAGGCCCCCGGATTTCTCAAAAGTTTTATTGACGAGTATCCGTACGATTTTCCCGAGCCAGAGTCCATTAGCAGGGAGTCCCTCAAAAAGCACTTGGAGAGTCAAGCGGCGGCCAACCAAGGCTGTGAAATCTCAGGCTCCCACAACGCGGATCTCATTGTCCGACTATTCCAGACACATGCTTCACCTTGGAAGGATATCGCGGCATTCCACATCAAGCAAGTCACGTTAGTGGCCAAGGCGTTTGTGGACCAACTGATTCGCCACATTGTCGATCAGTCGGAAGGGAACCCGACAATCGAGGCTATTCTTTGCGGCTGCGTTGACCAATTCTTTGCAGAAAAGGAGAAGCTTCTCTCGGACAAACTCGAGGAACTTATCCAGCCGTATTCAAGGGGTTATGCCATGCCTCTGGGCGTCGAGTTTCGTCAAATGGTTACGAATAGAACTAGCAAGCGTCTGGCTAAACGGTTGACCGAGCTGTCGAAGAAACAGACAAATCCTACAGATGCTGGCAGATTCAAGAGACTCAGGAGGGATATGCTAAAGGAAGCCGCCTCTACGCTTGATGCAGTCGATGGAGGACAGTTTGGAACGGAAAAGATCATTGACATGACGCTGGCGTATTACGAGGTGAGCCGCTCAGCTTATAACGGCCAATTCGGCATTGTGCGCTTTACGTCTAATTTACAAAGATGTCTCGACGAACGTTTACGGACAATGTTATCAACCTAGCTATAGAAGGCTGTCTCATTCGAGATTTGCCAAACATTCTCACGCTGACCCAGGTGGACAAAATGGAAAAGGGGCAAGTCAACAAGCTAGCGGTCGAAGGGAAAGGTACCCGAGCTCGCCGTAAACAGCTGCGTGCGGAATGTAACGTCCTGCGAGAAGGCCTCGAGCGGTGCCGCCAATACAAACCCAGAGGCGTGACTGGTAAGTTCTAAACACGATTTGCCTGTGCTATATGCTAAGCTGTTTGGATTCAGGTGTGCCATCCTCAGAGTCAGGAATTCAGCCGGTAATCGAAGGGCGCGGTGTCTCAGGTAAGTAAGCCCAAGTCAAGGACAAGAACCCGGAGTTTGGTGGCATAACTTTGAATCGATCAATATTGCTAACTCACTGCAGATTCCAGTACGCTGTTTACTTCACCAGCCGGACAGGCAGCTCCAGACAGGCACCTCGCGCCACCTGCAACCGAGTCACTCACAGTGTCCGCATCGTCCAGAAGACCAGCATCTCCATTGTCCCCAAATCCATCGGCCGCACAAGGCAAGTCGACACCCCTTGTTCCAATGTTGTAATCATCAGATTTGGCTCACATTGATGAAATGCAACCGCTTAATAGTCTATTCTAGCTTAATACAGATGTATATAGTACTGACATTTTCTGTAGTGACAGTCTCTAGCACTGGGAGTTCGTCTGGCGGAGCGGCGTCTTCCACCACATCGACAAGCTTAAATTCTGGTGGCCTATTTGGATCGAAATTTCAATCTCCTGCTGCATCAACAGGAGCTTCAACTTCCGCTACATCAAGAAGCTTTGGTTCTGATGGGCTGTTTGGATCGAAACCCTTTTCTTTTACTGTACCAACATCTTTTAGTACTATCAGCCTATCCGGTGGAAAACTCTTATCTTCTGAGAGCAAAAGTAAGTCTTCACCAATCCTATACATGGGTGCTAGCTACGGTCGCTACGCCTGGCACTTGCAATCTCTTCAATCAGCAGCTCTCTGACGATGCAGGCTGGCAATTTCAACCGCATCAGGTGACTGAGGGGGGGATAATACACCGCTTCCAAAGTATTTGTGCGACCCAGAAGTGGGAGCTCTTTTCACGAGAGGAGCTAAGGTGGAAATTTTACCAAGAACATCGACGACGGAAAGAGACGGAGCTTTTGGATCATCTTTGAATTTAGAAATGATGCGTTTTCTGGATCGTTCCCGTGGAAGACGAGACTTGCGTGACTATGCATCTTGCCTTTACTGTTTGACCTAGTTATATATACTTGAATTCGGCGACCCCGTTACCATTGCTCTGTTGCAGAGCTCTCCTCTGGTGGCAAGTTGCAGTACTCCGAGACTCGATGAAACTATGATGATGCCGGTTAGCAACGAGGACGGACATGTTTCAGCAGAACGAGAAATACATGGTACGCTTTGAAGCTCAATATTCAAAGCATTCAGCTGAAAGACCAATCTCAAAATTGTTCCACTGAGTTCTGAAGCTCTGGATAGAGAAAGCCCAACAAGACCCGGCGACATGCCGCCAGAGTGAAAAAAGCGCAAGCGATCCCACCGAGACATTGATAAACGTCGCAAGCATGTTTATTCTAAATTTGAGCCATTGGTCACACTGATTCTGTGCGTCAGCAGAGTCCAGGAGCTGCCCGTCGAGTTTCTTGGTGAAAATGTCTACCATGCCGCTTCGCTGACTGCTGTGTTGGCGTAATACTCGGGGTGTATAGCTTTGCGTAGCAAGTTCTGTGAAGCAAAACAAGGTACAGCTGAGAGTTGGCGATTTGTCTCACAGGTGAGAGAGCAGAATCGTCAGTACCAAACAATGCAGCTGGTGAAATAGTTCCAGCGTGGCCATATATCTGCCGCCTGATTCTTGACTGTATCGCTGTTGAATTGGGCCACGGGATGACTGCGTTTGGCTGCTTATTTACATACACTTGCTTCTTGGGACACACACTAGACAATTTTCACCACATGCTAGTCGGGGACTCTCGACTTATCCTGAGACCCCATGCCCTTAATTCTTTGCCTTGGCTGTTTACACATTGAGAATGCAGCACAGCAGCGTGTTGACCGACTCTGCTGAGGCCGAGGCCTTCCTCTCTGGCCAGAAAGAGAACATGGCCGATGGCGTCGCCAACTAGAGACTTCACCTATTTTCTTTACATGCCATGAATGTCTTGCTATCCTGTTTATTAGCTTGGTCGCTGGCGAGTAAGTCGCTGCCCCGGTTCTCTGAGTTCTATTGTAAGTCATTCCATGAGATGGCAACACCAATACTGTAGCTAGTAGTAGTTATATCAATATGTTCGTTTCTTCAGCCAGCGTAATTGGGATGCATCCCGCTTCTTGTAAGCACAGAGAGGGCTAATTAATGCCGGTGGTGCAAAGACGAGCTGCGAGTGATGGGCGCCTTGCAAATAATGGACAAACGTCTACTAATACTGCATAATCTAGTCACAGTTGTATGAATGGACGTTTATCGCAGCCAGAAATTGTTGCGGGGAGTGCGTGGGAAGACGTCGCCACAGTTCGGATGCCGGCCGCGTTTAGTTGCAGTCGGGTGTTGATGGAGCAGAAATTTCCACAGACAAGGAGGAAATTGTCTGCAAAGTGCTTGTACTGGTGTCGTTGCCAAGCCAAGGCAACTATCTATCTCCACGTTCAATGACAAAAAGCTCTACGCCACCAGGGTGTCAATACTACTCACTATGCGTCCCAAATGACATAACGAAACAGGCCGTCTTGAAGCTGCCGGTATCCGGCACGAAAACTCGAGTTGAATCGCCCAGTTGTCCCTGTTCAATGCTGTCCGTCCCACAGCGCTCGAAATCGGCCATTCTGGTCCTGCAAAAGAGTCTCTGGCTTACCGACCTCGGCAACCGTCCCGCCATCCAATACCACTACCTGATCATACTTGAGAACCGTGTTCAGTCGATGTACTACAGAGAGGACCGTGTGGTGGGCAAATTCCTCTTCAAGCACCTTGACCATGAGCTCCTCAGTCTCCCGATCAACCGCACTCATTGCCTCGTCTAGCACAAGCACCGCGCTGATATCCTTGCGGATAAGCGCTCGAGCGAGGCAAAGGAGCTGTTTTTGGCCCTGCGAGAGACCCAGGTCTGACACGTCGCTGTCGAGGCCCCCCTTTGCACTTATTTTATCCCAGAGTTCGACTTTTCGCAAGCAAGAGATGATGTGCTCGTCAGACTCGCCCGCCTCCATCTCATCCGTTCTCCCACCAGGGCAAATGTTGGTTCGAAGTGTCCCCGGGAAAAGCATCGGCTCCTGTGGCACCGCGATGAGGCGCGGCCGCAAGACGTTTTGCGGAATATTCGAAATGTCTATTCCGTCGACCGTAATCGTGCCCGAGTCTGGATCTAGCAGCCGGAACAAGGTGAGAAGCAGCGTCGACTTTCCACTACCTGTCCTGCCGCAGACCGCAACTTTCTCCCCCTGGCGTATCGACAGCGTGACGCTATTGAGAGCTCGGTAATGGTCGTTGCCGCTGTTGGCAGAGTAGGACGCGGTCACTTTATCAAATTCCACCAGCCCCCGAGAGGGCCACTTCTCAGGCGGTTGCCGTGGCTGTGGGCTCGTCACCTCCTGTGGTGTATTTGCTTCAAAGCTCTTGAGCCTCTCTATCGCGCCCAGAGAACCCTCAAGACCTGTCCAGTGTGATATAAGCTCAACCAGTGCTGAGCTCAGACTAATGACATTGACTAATCCCAACGCAATAGCTCCAGCACTAGTGCCTCCTGGGGCCATGACTGCAAGTGTGATGAGAGTAACAGCGAGACTTCCAACAAAGAGTTCCAAGACAAGCTTAAGCCAGCATTGAGCCCCGAGGAGGAAATAATGAGGCTTCTGGGAGTTATCGAGCAGTCTTAGTGACGTTTCTTCAAAGGCAGGCACCCACCCGTAAGCTTGGATGGTCGATATCCCATCAATAGTTTCCTTCAAGTGCGAATACAGAGGGGCGGTAGCCTCCAGATCCAGGTGCCGCAATTGACGAGATGTTCTCAGGTAGAATGCCTGTATGCAGTACACTACAAGAACAATAAGCGGCAAGGCTATGGCAAGATATTGTGAGCCGTAGAGCACCATGGCTGTGGATGTAAGGAGCGAAAAGACCCCTGGAACGGTTAGTTTTCGGTTGGATGTCAAACATTGAATGTATAGGCCTAGTTCGTACCGCTAACGCTCAGCCATAACCCAAGAGGCAGGCGCTGATTGATAATGTCGTGGTCTTTGCTGAATCTGGGCTTCCCAGTTAATCTTCATCTCCTCAAGATAATACATAGGAGGAATGGAGGGGTTACCAACCGGTTTATCAAGTCGCCTACATCGGTAGAAACGAAGAAGGACAACGGTGCACTGAGGCTCCATTAGTGACCTCAAATCAGGGTCAAGAAATAAGGTACATACTTCATGACGGTTTTGAGTAGGGCCAAGTGTAGCTTCTTAACAGACGATGTTGTTACGTTGATTATGACAAACCTCTCCCGATTAGTTACTACCAATGAAGAGGGCAACAAATGGCACCTACCAGATCGACCAACCGAATAAAACCAGGCCTACGACCTCGGCAAGGGTATAAATACCAAAGTACCAACCATTGCTTGTTTTCGGGTTCTTCAAGTTGGCTGTCGTCCAAATCATGAGCCAAATCTCTGTTTCCAGCGAGGCATTAGTAACTAGAGCAAACTCCATGGTTGCGACTCATACCTGGAAATATGTTCGTCAACGCATTTGCTGCCTCGCTAATAAGGAGTATCATCAATTTTCTCGTGCCAATTGCCTTGAAATAGTACAAGTACAGCGAAATATCCCCAGATGTCCGTATTTTGGAGTCGATTTTACCGTCAACGTCCTTTTGTCGAGGAGGCCCCTGAGCCGTTTTGAGTAATGTTCCTTTTTGAGCTATTTCATCTTCATGGGCTGAGCTTTCTTCTCTTGAGGACGATATTAAAGCTTGTATACCCGTAGAGGCCTTAAGTTCGTCCAATGGCCCCTGTATTACTTGGCCTGGGCCTTTATCCCCTAGTAGGATAACGCTATCTGGCCGGTCAATTAGGTGCACTGCGGCCATGTGCGTCAGCAAAACCTGCCCGGTATATTATTTCAGAACCAGAAATCTGGGTTTGGGAATCGGGGTGCCCTACGAGCGTGAGTGGCAAGAATAACAGTGGTTTTACTTCCCCTGAGAAGCCCTTTTGGTGCGAAGACACGATTATACACATGGCGCTGGGTTATCCAGTCCAGGCCGCTCAAGACGTCGTCGATGACCACAACCGGTTTCCTTGAATATAATGCACGAGCCAGCGACTACCACTTATTAGATGCGGATTTGCACGGGTCTCCGGCAGGGGGGAATCTTACTATGCGTTGCTTCTGGCCGCCACTTAAAGAAAGTCCGTTGGGCCCAATTAAGGACATGTCACCGTTAGGAAGTTGTGCCAAGTCCCGATCGAGTGCACATGCAGAGACCACTGTCTTATACCAATCATTATCCATCGCCGACTGTCCTAAGATATTTGATCTCACGGTGGCATTCATAAGCCATGGTGTCTGGGCACAATATGCAGCGCCAGCTCCGTATACTTTGAGATAGCCTTTTGTTTGTAATTGACCAAGCAATCCCCTCAAGAGAACAGTCTTCCCAGAACCGACCTTGCCAGCCACTAGTGTGAACGAGCCGGGTTGGATGGAAAGATTAATATCTCGCAAAACAGCTTCGTCATCAGTCTTGAATATAATGCTAGCGTCTTTGGCAGCGATGATCGCGTCCCCCAAGAATCCGAATGGTGCCACAGCTCCGGAGCCAGTGCCTGGGCTTGGGCCATTCAGCTCTCCTGGGATTACAGCATCGCTGTAACGTACTCTACTGTCCTCGCAAGTCATGATGAAGTCCTGCAATCTAGTGAAGCTCGCGAAAGAACTTATCAAAGTTGGCAAGGAAAACATGAGCCAAGAAAGTGGCCCCGTGACAAGACCTAAGATGCTCATGGCAGTGAAAGCTTTCGCCACGGTGAACTTTTCGCCTGACTTAGACCCAAAGGAAAGAAGGGCGATGCCAAAGGTCAAGACGGGCGCAAACCTGGACGGTGTATTCCCTACGCAGCTGTTAGCCAAAAAAAAAAAATCCCATTTTGACTGTGAATGTCGGTACCTAGCAAATTCATGAGAGTAATCAGCTTGCGGAAGAAAATAGACCTCTTCATCTGAATATCGTGCAGCCTAACAATGGCTCTAAGCCACGGTTCGACCAACCCGAGCATTTTTATTTCCTTCATTGATCCCAAAACACTACTCGTGTTGCTGATTCTGTTTTGGGTGGCTTCATTGTTGGCTTTGACAGCAGGTGCCATGAACTTGGACAGTTGAAATGTCCCTATGAATGAGACTACAATAATTCGGTCAGTTATATTACAAGAGAAAAAGGCCATATGGCAGGGGATCATACATAGTACCGCTATTGCAGGACCAACCGAGCCCCATCCCATTTGAACGACAAGAAACCAAAGAGCCAGGCCAAGTTCGATGGGAGTTGCCCAAAGCTCATGGATCTGTGCGAAAGCTCGTTCGATGACACCTACGTCGGTTGTGACCAATGTCAGAACAGCGGAACTTTCTTTGGCCCCTGATTCTAGGTCCGTGGCATTATCCAACAAGAACGACGTAAGGGAGACGCGAATTGCGGTGAGCATTCGATATATCTTTTGCTGGGAGAAGCTGTAGCCGATCTGGAACAGAAATGTTAATGCCGCGCCACTATTTTGACCATGAGAGTAGTCATACAGCAAGTCCAAGGTACAAGAAAACCGTCGCAGGGATGAGTGCGTAGCCTACTTCGGGAGAATATGCTCCTTCAGTTCCCTGGTTTTGAACAAGGCGGATAACCCTGTTGATTAGAAACGGCTGCGACATCTTGAAGGCAGAATAGCATATTCTTGGAACAACCCCAGCAAGCAAAGCAGCCTTTGTAGAGCTGAGCAAGGTGCGAAGCAGTGCATGCTTCCCAGAGTCTCTGTAACGCGGCCAGTTAAGATGCATTCGGTGCAACAAAGTCTCCGAGCGAAGCTCCAAGTCTAAAAGGTGCAGCTTTTCTACCGATAGAGTCGTTCCGTAGCCGGTCAAGAAGAGATCATTGAGCCACCACAAAAGGCTCCTACTGATGATTCCACTGGTAGCTTCAGGACCCAGGGACTCACCTTTGCCGCTGAGTATAGAAGTCTTATTCTGGGACTCTAGGAGTAACAAAGCGACTTTTGTTGCCAGCAATGCTGATACGATAGTTGCCAAGGGCTGGGCGTTGTGAAGCAACCAGAGAGTTCGACAGTGCATTGAGTCAAACAATGACGAAAACAAGAGATAGACGCAAAGCATACTTGATGGTCTCACGGATCGATGGTGCTCCAGGTAAGTCAGCATGGTGATAATCGCAGCATCAAGTACGCCCAGACATGATGCGACAAGCGTGACGCGTCTGGCAGGGACGACGGCACCAATGTTTCTCCAACTGACGAGCAAAGAGATTTGGAGCAATAGAAGCACAAAACAAAGGGCCTGGGGACGAAGTTAGTATTCATGTAATGCTCCTTGTGGGATCTTGCGGCGGGAATCGAAGAATCAAGGCCAGGTGATCGCATACCATCTTCAGATAGAGACCAAAACTGGCAGAAACCCTGGGTCGCTGACCAACAAGTCGGAAAAGTCGAAATGGCACTACCATGAGCAGGATGACAGAGGGGACTATCTCGAAAACTACCAGTTCAAACAAGAGCGTGAAGTCGAAGCGCCCGCCGGGGCAATCAGCTGCAAATGGCCCGAATGAGCCATCGCAACTAGCAAAGCCGAGTCTGCGAAAGGCATGTTGATGGAGTCCCATCCTCTTCGACCATAAGGAGGCAAATAGAAAACAATTGGTACCCGTCAATGACCAGACGCAAGATTGATTGGTTTGAAGGAACAGTTGGGTAGGACTGTTTAGATTGTGTGTTTGAGGCAAGAAAGCGAACTTGCAACCGCTCAGACTCTCGCAGCTCTCCACTAGTCATCAGAATACATGCTTACAGAGGCAGAACAGCAGTTGATCTCCATCTGTTGGTTCTGCAAACTTGCTCAAGGGCTGACAAAGTTGCTGTTGGTCGACGTCCTCAACACCAATGCGGGAAGGAAACGTAGGCGGCCAATAAAAAAGTGGGGTCTTGATGAAGCAAAGGTTCTTTCAACCCCAGCAGCGGCATGATGGAACATCGACGAGTGACCAAGGTAGTACAAATGCGGTGTTGTAACTACGGAATATACTACAAACAAGATCGGGCTGCATACTTTATGTTGGGTGGTGGTGGTGATGGTGGTGTACTTCGTTCCCCCCGACGGCTGCATCCACTTTTTAATTAAATTCGCGGATTTTTTTTCGTGCCGAGTCCCAAACTTGGGCGACATTTGTGACTTGGGCTCTTGTTGGCCGAGAGAAGAACAACATTGCACATGTCAGAATGGCGCATGCGCACATCAATCACTCCAACATCCACTTCAAGTGGTCCAAAAACATCCCCCCCGTTCTTGCAGTCGAGTCAGGCGCCGAGCTCAACTTCGACCTCAAAGATGGCTTCAACAATCTGATCCACCCAGGCACCACTGCCGCCCAGCTCCGAGACCTCGACACCTCCCAAACAGACCCAGCCTTTGGCCCCGTGGCAGTCGAGGGCGCCGAGCCAGGCGATGTGCTGCGCGTCGACATCCTCGAGCTGACGCCCGCGCCGTACGGCTGGACGGCCGTCTTCCCCGGCTTTGGCCTGCTGAGCGACGAGTTTCCGGGGCCCCATCTCAACGTGTGGGATTTGAGCACCATCGCAGAGGGCTATGCCGAGTTCAAGAAGGGGATCCGGGTGCCTACCCAGCCCTTCCTGGGTGTCATGGGCCTCGCGCCCGCGCAAGACGGCGAGTTGAGCACGATTCCGCCCTACAACTGGGGAGGCAACATCGACTGCAAGCACATCACCACGGGGTCGAGTCTCTACCTCCCCGTACAAGTTGCCGGCGCCCTCTTCAGCTGTGGCGACGGGCATGCTGCCCAGGGGGACGGCGAGATCTGCGGCACGGCCATCGAGACCCCAATGAAGGCTCGCCTGCGTCTTACTCTTGAGAAGGACAAGCCCTGGGTCAAGTCTCCGCATTACTTGACTTCGCCCGAGGCCAAGACGCGCGCAAACAGCAATCGCGGCCAAGAGTATGCGGCTGTTGGCATCGATGCCGATCTATTGGAGGCAACCAAGAAAGGTGTCCGAGGTGCCATTGATTGGCTTTGTGCGGAGAAGGACCTAAGCAGGGAAGAAGCCTACATGCTGTGTTCGGTGGTTGGCGACTTGAAGATTGTGGAAGCCGTCGATATGCCTCACTATGCCGTCGCGTGCTGTATTCCTCTCGGCATTTTCGTGGGCGAGAAATAGACCTAGTTGCCGTATTGCATCAAAGCCTCAAATCAAGAAAGCCAAGTATTATGACCCAAAACTCTACTGCCCGCCCAGCTTCGCATGCAGAACACATACTACTTTGCTTTTTTGTTTCTGCTCGTCGAGTTGGTCTCAGCACCACGTTTTTGTTTTTCCCTTTGGCAACCATGCAACCGAGACAGTAGATGCCCAACCATGTGCGTCTTATGAGACCAAACTGCAGCCTACGCACTAGTTCCGAGTCGCAGTCCAGTCTCATCGATCGGGTGGGATCCAGGTCTTATTAATATGGCCAACGAGAGCGACAAAACCTGGACCCTGCGAATTTGGTTCGCGAGCAGAGGCTCTCAGAATGCAGATGCAGATGCAGATGCAGATGCAGATGCAGATGCAGATGCTGATGATGCTTGATGTAGATGCAGATGGGCATCGACATGGGAGCCCAAAAGAATCCTAACCAATAGGCAAAAGCATCGACGTACTAATCAACTGGAAACACTAGCGCACCCCGGAGTTTTGGTGTCATGGTGGCGCCCGCCTCCAAACATCCCATCACAGGAAGGGCGTTGGCCAGATCAGATTTTCAGGGTCCCTTCATATGTATATCTGTTTGAGCAAGCCCTCGTCAACGTCAGCACCCATCTCTGTCTCGACTTTTCACGGGAAACTTGCGCCGCCACATGAACCCATTATCCGTGACTATTTTTAACTCTCAGTCATAATTTCTTCTTTGGAGCGGGGAAAACAGACCAGCAAAGTAATGAAGGTCACATCGGTACGTGCCGTCCATCATCGTCATCCATGGAGCTTTCCCGCCTCATCACGCACCCGGTCACCCGCTGACAACACTTCCAGATATATGTTTATCCTATCAAAGCCCTTCGTCCAATTCGCCTCGACGATGCCCGTCTCACCCCCCAGGGCGTCCAGTATGACCGACGCTTCATGATTTGTCGCGCCGACGACACAGACCCTTCCAAGCTCACCAAGGTCCAAATTGACAAGGTTTACCAGTGCGGCTTGTTCAAGCAGGAGATTGTAGGCGACAGCGTTCACGTCTCGTATCTGACTCCCGAGGACCCTGTCGTTGCTGCGCATCCGATGCAAAATGAGGTCCTGGAGGTCCCGCTGAGCCCCGACACATCTGATCTAGAGACGGTAGATGTCGACTTACACCTGAGCATGGTCACTGCGTATCGAATGGGCGCCCGCTACGACGACTGGTTCACGGCCTGCTTCGGATTCAAAGCCGTATTGATCTATATCGGGGACGGAAGGCGGCCAGTCCTCGGAACCTATGCTCCCCAAACAGACGGCCCACCTCAGCAAAGAGGTTGGCTATCCTCCATATCCGGCTACGTAGCTGGGACATCGAGGCCCGCCAAGGACAAGCCGTGGCTTGCCTTCTCAGACCTGGCCCCCTTTCTCGTCGCCTCTGAAAAGTCCCTTGCCAACGTCAAGGCCAGAATGCCCTCAAGCGACGTCGCAATCACAGCCTTCCGACCCAATATTGTCGTCGACGGAGAAGCAGACTTTGACGAAGATTTCTGGGCCGAACTCTCCGCCAACGACCAGCCGTTCCTCACCCTGACCAAGATGTGTAACCGCTGCCCGTCCCTCAACGTGGACTACGACACCGGCAAAATAGCCGAGGGCGAGAGAGGCACGGTCCTCAAGAAGCTCATGTCCGACCGACGGGTAGACACAGGTGCCAAATACAACCCCGTCTTCGGAAAATACGGCTTCCTGAACGAAGGACAAGAGAACATGGTCCTTGCCGTAGGCGACGAAATCACCGTCACCAAACGCGCCGACGAACGACCTATTTTTGACTGGCCCCTGCGAGCACGGGGTGCCCAGCCGCAGTTCTATCAAACGTCCTAAAACTAAAAAAAAAATTAGAATGGGGCGAGGGGTTGCAAAAAAGGGAAAAGAAAAGGCCGACAATAGTGGCACTCAGAATTTAGAGCAATAAAGTGTTGTCGTGGAGAGTACGCCGGCCTGGGGAATGCAGTCTGCTCCTCTCGTGAGAAAAGCTGAACTTGCACAATCCGAGTTGTCTCACGCAAGCGGAAACAGTTGCAGCCCCTGTTGCGCCCATTACACGCACGCCCCCGCTTTATTCTGTGCTGATCATTGTTTCAATGACATTAATTCCACCGGGCCGTTGAGAGAGGGAAAACAAGAGACAACGAAGTCTCACTTGCTTCAACGTGTGACGCCGGGGAGTGAAGAGCCTCGGGGGAAGGGGGGGGGGGGCCAAAAACCCCATTACAATCGATTTGTACGCCAGGACAGGAGACGGATGGTATTGTTCACCGAGCTTCGTGGGTCTACGCTGATAATGGGGATATTTTCTATTGAATAAAACAGAAACAAAGAACGAAAGCATCATAGGTTGGAGACAACAGAATGAATTGTATGCAAGAGTACTACTGCTTCAATGACCTAGTTTATGCAGAAAGGCGCACCCCAGGCTTGTATCGTACAATACTTGACTCTTCAGCCAACCGAGGCCAGAGAGACTGTGTCTAATTTCCAACGTCGAGCCCACGTCGAGCCCACGTCGAGCCCACAAGGCGTTCAAACGCGGGACTCAGACAACAGCCACCAACGGTCAGTGTCACACATTGTGCCACCCAGCTGTTTGGATCCTGCATAGGCTCGGGTCTCGCGCCAGTTACACGATGCCTTCGTTTGAAGACTGCTCGGAGAAAGAACCAGGCGTTTGTGCTTTGCTGCCGTCGAATGGGATTGTGTTCCTCGGTGAAACCATGTATGTGCGTGGGACAAGAAACGTAGAGCATGTGTTACTCAAGTGTTTCTAGAACATATTTGACAGTTCCAATAAGGTGTCACAGATCAGTAGCCCGAATCCAAGTAGAAACGGCTGACGGCTCTGTGACAACAACTACATATGCATGCTCATGAAGGAACTGTAAATTTTACGAAGCAATTGGCTTGATCATGTATGTACCGGCAAAGCAAAACATCATCAAAGTCTTCGATAGCGCTGCAAGACTGTTTCCACATTCATCATTACTGCATTTATCGCACACATGTTCCGTTGCAGCTTGGAAGCCACACAATATCATAAAATATCATTTATATTTTCTTCGCGTCTCATATCCTGGCCTGGGCCGTAAATGCTATTCTAACCCCAAACACCGAGTAAATTCCATCATTGGTAGCAAATTCTCAAGTAGTATTCTTATGCCCACATGTGATACCGCGCGGCACTGTATTTGCCTGAGCTATCAGCGGATGAAACAATGTAAAACGAAAATTTCTATTTAAAAGATGAGAGATAAAAGAGGAGAGACGAAAGATGAATGCTCTTCATTGCCGAACGCCGTTGAAAAGTGCTCCGGGTACACAGAGGACGTAGCCGAACAAAAACCGCAGAACAGCCTAGCGTATCTGGATAGAGCACACTTGACTGTTGGTCGTGACTCCTATGCGCTATGTGTGGTCTGGTGTGCAAGCTTTGACCATTGGCTTCTATGCCGCCTGTGTGCATGCTCTGCACACATGCAGCTTGCAGTAAACACACTCGAAGATCATCCAATGTGGCCCTGAACAACAGTATTTGCAAATCCATTGCACCAAGGTTGTATCACACTTGATAAGGCTGAAAGAATGAGAACACGAGTTTGCCATGGCGTCTGTTGTATTTGGCTGATAGGGTTCCCGTCGTCAAATGTTATTGAGCTTGGCAACCAACGCTGGTGATGACTGTCCGAAAAATGTCGTTGTTTTCTGATTGTCCTTGGGCAAGCGTGACCAGAATGTATGGGAAGTGATGAAACGCTTCACACGTTCGTTTGTAGTTGAGGATCAAGCAACACAAGGGTGCTCAAAGCTTGTTGCGCCGATGGGAAGCTAACAGACGGGACAGAGAGATTATTCAAGTTGAAAATACGGACGAGGAAGAAGAGATCGCAATGGGGACGAGAGGCAAAGCTTCGAGAATCGGTAGTATTCGAGTTGGAGGGATGCAGTCCGACAACAGATGGCGGGAAAGAACCAGACCTTATATACTGCCCTCGAGTATACCAGAAGGTGACTGAAGACGGCTGTGGAGGTCTCTCATAAGCGAAGGACGCTTGAACAAGCCCCGTGTAAGCCCAGTCCTGACGATGACAGGTTCAACGATGCGCCAAACAAGGCCGTTGACGGCGGAAGCACACGCCTACGTTGTAACGCTGTGGTCCTGTTTGAGTCTCAAACGAGAAACTTCGGGGATTTCTGTAAAGGCCCGAATTTCCAACAACAAGGGCAAGCTCCCGGGGAAGGGTTGCAAGACAACGCCCAGACGACGAGGACCCAAGGAGCAAACGGAGCCCACGGAGACTTCGGATACAGATGGCGCTGCTCAAAGTCAGGTTTTGTTCCAAACTGCTCGAAGCGGGCGCCAGGGATGTTTGTACAATGTACAATGTGGCGATGGTGACGGGTGCCGAGTTGAAAAGAAGAGATCGAGGTTCATACCCGGACGGCAGCTTGGATGAACCAGAGTCCAGACACTCCCGGTCAAGCTGGCCAAGCTCCTGTCAGTCTAGAGTAACAAGAATAGGGCAGGCGGCGCAGGCGAAGCAAGGCAGGTGTGAGTCGTTCCATGCCGGGAAGGAGGCAACAACCGCTGGGCAGCGTACATGCCTAGACCGTCGACACCTAGTTAGTAGTAGTCAGTCCTGCTCACTTTGTCACTCTCGAGTCAATCCTCACTCCTCCATCCCCAGCACCCGAGCCTCGAAGACGCCGTGCCATCCACCCTTTCCACCCTCGAGCCGGTTTAAACACTAAATTGTCGAGCAGCACATGGTAGCCAGTCTGCCCGTGATGGTTGCCCAATCAATAAACTGTCAACCTTGTCCCCTGGCGCCCAAGACACCTGGAAACACAATCGAGCCAAAACCCTGGCGCCTTGGGCTAGTCCGGTGGGAATCCCGGTCAATGTCATCGATGAAACGGGACTGGCGTGCTTCCAGAGACATGGTAGCGGGTCTTTGATGGTGCAGCGCGTTGCAGTCATGCGGCCTAGCAGTGCTCGCGGCCCATGCAAGCCCAAGTCTCCCTGTACGGGCATGGAGTCCTAGTAGTACTACTACTTGACTGCAAAGGTGGTGGACGGACAGGGCGGAGCCACGGCGTTGGAATCAGTAGTGGCAGGGTATGTTAGGATGGTGCTGCAAGGTGCAGGGTGCAGCTGGGCCATGATGGCTGCCACGTCCTAGCATTTGATCGCAAGAGGCTCGCCGCAGCGGACAGGATGGACGGTGCGTGCGCGACCTGTCTCTCCTCAAACTAACTCGCCCATGGGCCATGGGGGGTGTATGCTTCGGCTCTGGCCTCTCCTCCTGACGACTATTTTGGAATACAAGTCAAAGCCAAATCTGGAGACTATGGACAGTTCAGCAAAGAAGCAGACCAACAGCGCGTCGAGTCGTTGCGGGTCTGGTGGCATTTGGTCGACCTCGAAAATTACGGCGGTGCAAGAGAAAAACCTGTTCAAGCTCTCCTCGCTGATTGATCACAGAGCCTTCTAGACCTCGGAGCCGTTTTGTTGGCCCTGATTCTTGACGACAGCACTCTGCTGGGGTTGGGCCTTTGATCATCTGGCTCGCCACCTCCTTTCGACAACGGCGACAAGTGACGTGCAACATTGCTAGCAACGCTACAAGAAGAGTCAATCAATATCACAAGCACTGTCACAGTTGCTCCAGGGGCAGACGTAGAGATTTGGCAACTCGAGGCAGCATATACCGTTTGGCACAGACACATCCTAGTTGCTGCGTTTCCACTTGCGGCGAATCGTTGCCGTAGCCCTGCATTTTGCATCATTCCGCATGAAGAGGCTGGTGCTCTGGCGCTCTCTTGTCAGCAATCCACTGACATTACTCTCTACTGTGCCTCACCCGACTCAGCATGGTTACATGTGCATTTCTGCCCGTCGTTTTCAGCCTCTGGTTTCCTTCTGGACAACAGCCAGCACCGAGAAGGCCCTTGTCCTCCAATTGCCCTGCCGTCGCCCAAGTCCGTTTGAAACTTTAAATGCTTACCGAGGCCTGAAAAGGTTTGCCTATTTATGCACGACGATCGAGCGGAAACGGGGACCAGTGGTTTGTGGGACCTGTCAATCTCGGAGCCTGCCCCTTTACTCCATGTCATTTCCCTGTGCAGTGCGGCGCTGGGCTCTCTCGGTGCCTGTACCTGCGTGACAATCCCGGCTTTGGTCTTACACATGAACCTCTCTGGGAGTTCTTGAGTCTTACCAGGGGTGCCTCCAAACGGACGCGCCCTGTGTTCCATGGAACTTCTTTTGCCCTTCTACCCCGTTGCACTAATAAGACCATCCACGAATGCCAGTGTTGGCAAATGCGCCCCAACACCAGCAAAGCAAGGATCGGGTCTGATTACATCAGTACGGAGTACTGTGAGCATAAACGACGCCCAAGGTTCTGAGACGTCTAAACGCATGGCATTGTATGCCTATGTTGACTCATACTGGTGCACCTATCAACCACGGAGGGGGATATTGGCAAGTGTTTAGCCGACGTGTGGACACGGGATGCAGCCAAGGCGAGGCAAGCCATTTGAGCAGCCCGCCGAGCCACGTACGTACATATGTATGTAGGTGTTATGTATGTATGTAATGTCCATGTCATTCCTCACTTTCCAAAGACAACAGTGTCCCCCGATCTGTTGCCGATCGCAAGCCGCAAGCAGCCCCAGGGGCCAGATGCTCTGGTTGCCATGTTTCTACAGGGATACGTACGTACCCTCGGTTTGCTTTGTGTCTCATTCCTGCTCAGGTTGGCGCTACTTGGGCACATCCTACATACATACAACAAAGCACCCCTGGCGCGGAGACAAGAACATGACGTTGGGCCGTCTTGTGCTTTATGCTCACTGGTACAAAATGCAATTTCGAAACCAGGCTCTCCAGGAATGGCATTCCAACTTGAACCTATGAAATACAACCGAATACATCGATACTGGCGGCTCTATTCATGCAGCTGTGACCGCCAAAACTTGTCTCCCCATTTCGACATCTCGGGACGGGACGATCCCTGCATAACGATGGGATGTTGATCCTCGCAACTAGACACTCGTCGAGACTTGATTGCGAGGCAGCCGAAGTGTCTACTCGGTAGATGACAGAGGAATGGGGTGTTTCCAAGCCCCGGTGCCGCCACTCCGCTCCTGAAGTCGGGGAACATCTAGTAAATGATATTTCCACACGGATTATGCCGTCATGGTGAGAATCATCCCACCTTTTTTTATCTGATGCAATGGGAATACGTCAAACGGCATGGCCGGGCCAGGGTGGTTTGATTCCATAAGCCAAGTTGGGCGACTGCTCACCGTGGAGCGACCGAAACGAACCCACCTCGGGAAGAGGCCTTCTCTTCCGCGCGAGAGTTTTTCGAGGGAGAAGAGGGACGCGAATCGGCCAAGAACTAACCAACTGCTATTTTCGTCCATGCCGGCCGGGGTACAGGATGCCTTGAAATGTTTCTGCCCCATGCGCCTCTCCGCCGCCAAGGGTGTCAGACCTTGTATCCCCACAGCAGACGCGGCCCCTCTAGCTGCAAGACCCCTGCGGACGTAATGATGCGCCCTTCTGTCGCACGATGAATGCCGTACGGTACCTTTCTTGTTGCAGCTCTCCCTAAATCAATGCAGAAGTCCTGAGCGACGACCAAGGACATTTGGGGAACCGGAGTCTTGGCATACCTACGCACGCGTAATCTTGGGTCACACGCTTGCGATGTTTGATTCTGTTTTTTTTTCGGTTTCAGGGTAAGTCGAGTTATTATCCTATGCAAGTTTCTAACAAATTTCAACAAGACCTAGCAAGCCGGGGGAGTTGGACATTTAGATCATATGATCTTTTTTTTTTTTCGTTGTTGAACATCACTACCTGCATCCGCACACAGCGGCGTTGGTGTTCAACACATAACTACTATAGGTACTTACCTTGCGTACTCGGTACTCCGTACAATATAATATGATACGAGTGGGCACTGCTGGTCAAGGAGTAGTATGGGTTTCCTCCCATGCACTCTTTCTGTGACTTGTGTCTAGGCTAACTGATTGTCCCATGGTCGTGTTCATGAATTGTGGGCGAACATGGGTCAATGTTGAAATTACCAGCATCCCAACAGCGGCTGCTTTACAATAATAGTACACCCTCACATCTTGTACTCCAAAGCCATCGCCCTCTCAGGCATGTGAATGCAGCGTTTTGTTGTACAGAGTACTCCGTACCCGTCAAGGAAAGACTCTGTTTATGTATGCTGTGCTATCCTGTACAATTGTGTTTGCACACTCGTTTGTTCTATTCTATCCCTTTTATGCACTCCGCATGCTGCATCGCGAAACATGTCTGTGTCTTTGCGTCCAGTCTACAAATCACCGGACATGCCGATGATATGTGCCCCACTGCTGCACTCCTTCAAATGCGCTTCGTCGAGTATATCCAAATAGCTGCCACATGTACAGTGAATAGCGCTATTCAAGGTCCACGGCACATGCTCGTCAATAAAACAATCTCGCTCAGAGGCACTCCTGGGTTTTCGCAGTTGCCAAACAAGTATTGTCCTGTCATCACAGGCAAGGCGCCGCGCCGCTGTGCTCAGCTGTATCCTTCTCATTGACTGACGTCGTATTCTATGTTCCCAAATCAGGACTACCAGAAAGCAAATCTTTTGGTGGCAGAGATTTCATCTGTAGTAGTTCATGGTCACTTGCTAGCCGTTCTTGCTCCTCGAATGTGAAAGCGTCCGATAGATTCACCGCTAGGAATGTTTTGGGAAGTTTAACTCTGGGAAAAGAGGACCGTCATCAGCAAACTAGCGGACAGACAGACAGACAGACAACACACGAGTTGCAGGAAAAGGATGACACCTACTGGTTGAATTTGGCGCGAAGTGTCTTGATGACTTGCAGCCAGTCTATGTGTGGAGTCAAGCTGCGTCTCGGGGCGCAGCCAATGCAATGCCGGCTGTCGAGCTGCACGTGCAGGGGATCGAAAACGTGGCAACCAGGACTGATCGTGATACGGATGCTGTACGTAAATGTCGACTCATCGCCAAGCGCGCTCTCTGCTGGTGCTTTGGTCTCAGATTCGTAAAGCTCAAAACAGATTTGGGACAGGTAATCCAGCTCGGGAATCGTGCTGCGGTTAATTTTCGTTTCGATGCCACCCTCGATGATGGAGTTGAGCAGGGTGTAGATGTGGGATTCTTTGGTGAAGTAGAAGAAAGCCTTAGCATCGGTAGATGCTTGCATCTCTTCCAAGTCCTGAACGATCTCCTTCAGAAGTGGAAGAGACGTCAACAATCCAATTTCGAGCTTCTCACTGTCGGAAATACCGTATTCCTGAGGACAAATGAAGTCAAATAACACCTTTGCTAATCTGTATAATTCCTGCAAAGGTTCGGTGCGCGGATCGGACTTCATGGCTGTCTGATTGGCCCCTTTGTACAATCGGAAGTACTGTTCGGGCAAAGCTTCATCATTCGTGTGTCTGAGGCTGTTTAGGAACGATCGTCTGCGGAACAGCTTCTTGACAGATCGATTTGCAGCGTCTGTCTTGTCAGAACCGTCAAAGCTACCGTTCTGGCCCTTCTCACCTTTTGCATCTTCGGAAGCTTTGGCCTCATCGATATCTTTCTGCTTTCCCTCCATTTGAGAGTACTCATCCTCCAACATGCTTTTCGGTGGCGTGAAGACCCATTCTAGGAATTGTCGGTTATGAAGTGCGTCGAATTTCATCGTATCATAAAGCTCTGAAATTTTGCTAGGGTCTACCTTATCACCATCGCAAAATTCAGAAAACAGCTTATCCCATCGTTCACGGAACAGCTCAGCGTCCTCGCCGCTGCACCATCGGGATTGGATACCGTTGACAGCGTTCGCATGTGAGAGAGACGAAATTGATGCCGAGGAACCTTCCATGCTTAACCTCTCTGAGCTTGCGTTGGAATTGGCGCCGAGCGACGAAGCCGCACCATTGTACAACTTGCCGTAGTTGTATTGCATGACACGCCTGTGGAAATTCATGAGTTGAACCACCCGAGTTTGGACCTCGGAGGGTTCAGGCATATTTTCGGGCCAGGTAAACTGGGCTGGACGCTCGTTGCCCTTGCGGAGTAGGCCCTTCAACTTCTTCTTTACTTTGTCCATTTCGTCTTTGGCAGCATTTGAATCATCCAGTAGATCCTTTCGCGTAGTGATGAAGTCTTCAGGCAAGTCGTTTCGGTCCAGGAACGAGCAAGCCCAAATTTGAGCGCTTGCGCTCACTCGTCGTTCGGAGCTGCTAAAGACATGAATTTCGTCAAAAACATCCCTATTCAAGAGCATCAAGTCATTGCGCATATTTTCCCCCAGCTCTTGTGCTTGGTATCGTGCTGAGTGTGTTGGCTCCCCACCCCACTTGACAATAAGCTGAAGTTTGTCAAGGACCAAGCTTTCCTCAGCAGCTGTGAATTTGGACATGGTGACACCAGAAAGGGAATCATGTCGTTTGGAGCTAGACCGTGGTGTGCATTCACTGCCATCACACTCCCCTGCCCTACCTTTCCTTTCTGGGGGGGATTCGGCCATGTCCAGTACCGCCGGCACCTCGATAGAGGTTGATACTTCATCAAGCCTCTTTTTCCGGAACATTGGCTTGATCTGCACCTTTGTGCCTGCCCAGCTGCCCTTTTTCACTAGTACATTGCGAAGAGCCCTGAGTTTCCCCCGGTCCTCTATGCCAGCCTCATACGCTACGTCGACAGCCTGAATCACGCTTGCCAAAGCAGCTTCCCCTATGAGGAGCACTTCTTCCTGGTGACCTTTAAGAAGGGCAATAAATGGATCAGTATGAAACGTGAACTTATATTTTTGCTTTGGCGTACGGTCAGCATGTCGGATGACACAGACCATTCCTTTCAACTTCCAAGAATGCTTAGGCGGGGGTGGTGGTTGGGTTGGCGTCTCTTCACTTGGTGCTTGCGTTGGTTGAGCAGATATAGGTGCGGACTGAACAGATGAGGCAGCTGTAGAACTACCGGGCAAGGCAATCTCTGAAGGTGGCGGAAGAAGGGGACTCGCGGAGGTGCTTGGAACGGTTGAATTGAAAGTGCTCTCGGGACGAGGGGATGTTGTTTCGCCGGAGAGTTTCTGGCCAGAATCTTCATTTTGAGGCTCCGTCGTTGTTGCATGTCCCCTTGTAGATCTCGACGTGGATGAGGACGCAGGCCCTGACTGTTGTTCGCGCTCCCTGCCCTGCTGTACGATTTTGGTCATCGGGTCCAGGTCTGTTGTTTCTGGAGAAGGCAAGGGTGGTGTTGCCCCTCCTCGACGTAGCTTGTCCTTGACAAAGAGATCTCGGAGAATATTGGCACAATGCTCGTAGTAATCGTCATTGTCCTTGACAAAACTCCAGCCGTTGACATCGATTACGTAGCTCTTTCCCATTGCCCTGAGCAGATCAAACCCGCAGACACGCTGTCCAAATGTCGTTGAGATTCGGCTTGCCACATCTCTCTCCTCGTTACTGAGACTAGTCACGTAGCGCAACTCCTTGCCATGAGTGTTTCGCCTGACGATGCCATCTACTACCGGAGACTTGCGAGTTTCTGCATGGCAATAGTTGGGCCCAACAGTGTATGCCTTCACATCCTCGGCATTGTCTACTTGCATAAAGCTCTCGTATACGAAACTCCCTTCTGGCTCAGTGATTGCCCTAGGTATCGTGAGATCCGCAACATAGTCTGAGCTTTTGTTGCCAATCTTTCGAAACAATTTTCTGGCGCCGCCCCCGGAACTTTTCGCGAAGTAAATGATAATGTTATGGTCTTCACCGCTGGTCGGCTTCTCGACAAAAGGCTTTTTCAAGACACGACCGTCCACACTCAGCGTATCGCCATCGTCAAGTAGCTCAACCTTTGACGGCCGGATCGCTGTCGTAGCGTCTGCGGGCTCTATGGTTATGCCAGAAATGTCTTTGATGTGCTTCACCATTTCTGGTGTCAAGACTTGCGGGCCACCATCACGATTCACTTCCAACCGTTTTGGCGTGCGAACTTGGATTATGTCGAGAAGGCGGAGGCAGACACGCCGGTCCCATAGAACCTTTTGCATAGGCACATCGTTGACGCAAAATGGTTTTCGTGCCTTGACATATGCGATGGCCTTTTCAAGTGGGAATCCGTCGGAGTAGAAAGAAATTAAATAGTCACTGGGTGAGGTGTTAGCAAAGTGTGTTACTTCTGAACCCTTGTACGTGGGAATCTAGGCTACTATGCTCTTTGTGTTCACCGACGAGGGGCAAGGGGCGGCATACCACATGGGCCAATTCTCAACCTCTGGAACAAAACGAAGTTAGCCTTTATTTTCTTTCTCAACCACCCGAGGTAAGTTGGTGGAATATGTTTTTACTTATTCCCATAAGAAAAAGCATTGAAAAGGAAAGGGAATGAAAAGTTATACATAAAAAAGTTACACACACACCTTCGTCGAGAATAACCTTGTCACCAAATACGACGACATCGAAATCCCGATTCGCAATAAGACGGTTGAGAATGTTTCTGCTAGGTTTGCTTCTTGCTTTGATATCCAAGGCACAAATACCGATTGTGCCCCAAGGGGCAGGTTTTGCTAATAATGTGTCAGCAGCATGCAGGTGAGGTGAACAGTTTTGTTATTATTTTGATTTTGCATTACCCTCTTCCTTTTCACGGTGCGCACCACGGTCGCTTCCTTGGCTATGGGTGCTAGTTGCGGTGCTCCCACTGAAACGCCTCTTGGCTCTGCTACGAGATCTATCGGGTTGGGCTCGCATATTGGAGTCGGTTCGCTGGTTTCTTCTCATCAAATCGAGGGGTTGCGAGGTAGCATCTCTCGTGGCGAGGTTGTGCTGGCCGTTGGGGTTGGATCCATTTGGAGACGACGTTGCAGCGGCCGCAGTGGACAGACCAGGCTCTGGCGGTGTGCCGGCAGATGCTCCTTTGCTTGACGACATGAGGCCAGAAACCGACCGCGACAGTGTTCCTGAATCAGAACCGTGGGCCGAAGAAGAGTAGTTGATGATGCCCCTCGCGGAAGCAAGAGAGTATATCGAAGTACTGGACAGGCGCCTGGACTGCAAGTCGGACAGGGAAGACCGCGCCGTCAAGGAGGGTTCCGGCAACCACACGTGAGCAGCGTTCTCTGCGTTGAGCCCAGCGCGGATCCGCAAGATGTCGGAATGTGTTGGCGAAGGGTGTGGCTCTCCAAAGACGAGCACGTCGCTGCCGGCGTCTGATATACCGGATTGGGGTCGAGAATGCCAGGAAGGAGAATGAGCACCTTTTACAGGAATCGGGGTTGGTTGCGAGGCAATAGGGAAGGAGAAGGGCTCAGCATTGGTCTCGGAGGGGACAGAGTCAACATAACGGCTCTGCCTGCTGGCGTTGGAGGCTGCTATGGAGGATGCCGAAATTTTGTGAGAGTGGGCACCGGCAGGCGAAGGCGAAGGCGAGGCTGTGGGTCGGCGTTCTTGGTGTTGATGCTGCAGCTCCTGCTGCTGGCTGTGTAGTGATGGCCCTGATGGGCAACGCTGGTGACCTTGTCCAAGGTTAGCTGTGGCAGAGGGACCTGGCCAAATCTCGCGTTGTGTGGAGGAAATAGAGGATCTGGGAGACGACGGGTCGTCAAGAGAGACGCTCTGCTCCGGAGGCTCCATGGCGGCGGGCCAATTGACAGTGGCAGTGGCAGTGGCACTGGGGCTCTCTGATTATAGAAGCGCTTGAGACCAAAAAAAAGTTTGTTGCCAGCCAGACCAGATGGAGGCAAACGGATGGTCGCGGACCTGAGCTAGTTATTAGTGGTTGGAGGTAGCAACTGAGCGAGACCGGACAGACGAGGTGGAAACCTATTTGCCCAACGGCATCAACCATTGAGGTAACTTGCCGTCTGAAATTCTGGAGCATAGGAGACTGATGCAGAACATTGAGTCCGGAGCCCAAGGTCTGAGCTCAGTTGGCTTTGCCCTGGCGCTTAATGCTTGCAATTGAGTCTGGTCAATTCAATGTCCAATGTTGACACTGCACACACCAGACTGACTCGAGTACCAGCGTTCAATGTCAACCACAACGCCGCATGCGTCTGAACCCCGCGTCTTAGATGTCGTCGTGCAGCCGCATTTCAACACTTGCAATCAAATGAGGCAATGACTCTGGATGACAGCGGAAAGCAAGTTTGATACGGCACCCCCTTCGATGCATGTTTCCAGAAAGTAGCGTCAAAACACAGACAGCAGCCCGCCTTTAAGCTTATGCGTGGCCAAATGTATCCCGGCGCCGCCAACGGACCCCGATGTTCAGCACCCAATCAATTCGACAAGGGAATTGAAATTGCTGGGGGTTGTCTCCCATGCAGCGCTAGTCTCGTTCCCTGCGAACCGAACAACCGGACTCAGGCACGATTGCGCCGGACTCGTCGACGTTGTGATGAGCATGACGAGCGTGACAAGCGTGAAGAGCGTGACGAGGATGTCGCCTGTGCTCCGTACGGAGTACCAGCTGACGACACGTCGACGTCTGGACCGTCTAATGGCAGGGCAGGACCGGGGCATGTGCTCGTGTCTGGTGCCCGTCTGGGTGTGCTCGTGTGCTCACAGGGCAGGGCGGGTCCCTGTCGGCAGTGGTCTGGCGGCCTCGGGGCTCGGAACCAGACTGTGCTCCGCGCCGCACTCTGCCCCTCCTCAAATGCATGCTCGTGCCTTCATTGGCGAATTGGCTTCATCTCCAGTGCTTGCCAGTTGTCACTCGGAAGTGGAGCAGAAACCGGCAGAAAACCACCAACCGCTACTCACCGCCCAAATTTTTCAAGACGTTGCAGCTCTGAGGCTTGCCAATATTATTGCACGCCGCTGATGCAGGTAGATGGTCTCAACAACGAGCTTCTCGCCCCTTTGATGACCAAGATGCCACATTCAAGCAATCCAGAGGGACCTCTGGTCAAGCGTCAAAAGGTCTCGTCTGTGGCATCCTCTGTCAAAGATGTGGCCAATTCGTCTCGTATTTTTGCGCCGTTTCGAGTACGTCTACACTCGCCCGCCGTTCTTTGAAGACTCCCGCTTACTGATATTCTAACTTTCCAGACGGTTGGTCTCGTCTCGCCCACGAGCGTTCCATTTACATCCATACCACTTGGCAAAACCACCTTCCAAATTACCACGTCCGTGGGCCGGGCATTGCAGACGTACGACCTTCGCCGAGGATTAAACCTTGTTTTCGTCACTCGCCCTCAGACGCCCGCCAATATCACCGCCACCTTCGCATGGAAGGAAAAAGTCTTTGCGGCATGGGGCAACGGAAAGGATGGAGAGCCGCAGGGCTTCTGGGTCTTTCAGCGGGGAAAGAAAGTAAGCGAGTTGGGACTGCCTTCTGACCTTGCTGAACCAATCCAGCAAATCCTTGTCTTTGGTACTTGGGTTGTTGCTTGCGCTTCTACCAGAATTGAAATTTTCAAGAGTGCGACTCTGGAACACTACACAACAATTTATACCATGAAGGCCGACAAGGGAGGAAACGAAATCACTGGCGGCGTCGTTAGTATGCCTACATTCTTGAACAAGATCTTTGTTGGGCGCCGGGACGGATGGGTAGAGATATGGAATGTTAGCACGGGCAAGCTAATATACACCCTCCTCCCTCCCGCCCCCGATTGTGGCGCTGTGACTTGCCTGGAACCTAGTCCCGCTCTATCTCTTCTTGCCATCGCCTACTCGTCCGGCACGTTGGTCGTCACCAATGTTCTGATGGATAGGCTTGTGATTCAGATCGAAGCTGGAAGCCCCGAGGCTCCGGTGCACTCGATTTCCTTCAGAACCGACGGCATGGGCGCCGGGCATGATGGTAGAAAGGATGGTGTCATGGCTACTGCCAGTAGAGCCACTGGCGATATCACCTTCTGGGACTTGAATAAGGGTGGTCGAGTGATGGGGGTGCTCCGAAGCGCCCACAATCCCCCATCTCGAGATGCTAAGAATGTCAGAGGAGGAATTAGCAGAGTTGAGTTTTTGGCAGGCCAACCCGTCATTGTGACAACCGGTCTTGATAACTCACTGAAGACTTGGATATTCGATACTACACCCTTCTCGCCAATCCCACGAATTCTCCACTCCCGGAGTGGTCACGCCGGACCTGTCAACTGCCTACACTTCTTACCCACCGACTTTGATGGCGCCGAGTCAGGGAACAAATGGCTTCTAAGTGGGGGCCGGGACAGAAGCCTTTGGGGATGGAGTTTGCGAAGGGACGGTCAGAGTACGGAGCTAAGTCAGGGAAATCTGCGCAAGAAGGCAAAAAAGATTGGTATTCTGGCTTCCAATCCATTGGCTCATGGACCCACGACCTTGCTAGAAGACCTCAAAGCACCTGAAGTTACAAGTATTGCCATGTCCCTTAACAGAGATGGTGGTATCGGCGCAATACCGGGCAACCAACCCATTTGGCAAAAGGGCCACCAAGATAGCAAGAAGAAGGTCGATGCAGAAATTAGTGGAATGACTGGTTGGGAGAGTGTGATTACTGCACACAAGGGGGATTCTTATGCGAGAACTTGGTTCTGGGGTCGGAAACGAGCAGGGCGATGGGCTTTCCCCACGAGCGACAATACGAATGTGTCGACGGTTGCCATAAGTCCCTGCGGAACATTTGCCGTTATTGGATCTGAAGGCGGCAGCATCGATATGTACAACTTACAGTCAGGTCTGCACCGACAAAGGTTTCCGTCTCGGCTGACGCCTTCACAGGCTCGTCAACTCCGGCTTCAGCAGCTGAGGCAAGCAGATGATGTTGCTCAACTACAAGCCGGTGGTGGACAGAAGTTCCTCCCAGGTACCGGGAAACATGCTAAAGCAGTTACGGGGCTTGTTGTCGATGCCATGAGCAAGATGGTCATATCTTGCTCTTCGGATGGCAGGATCAAATTTTGGGACTTCCTGACGGGAACACTACTTGACCAACTTGACTGGGCGCCAATGACTTACCCCATAGCATGCAGGTACCATGCTGCCAATAACCTGTTGGCATTTGCATGCGATGACATGTCAATCCGCATTGTCGACATGGAAACTAAGAAGACGATTCGTGAATTCTGGGGCCCGGAAGGCTGTATCAACGACATTTGCTTTTCGAATGACGGCCGATGGATTATTGCCGCATCAGACGACAAGACGATCCGGATTTGGGATCTGCCTACCAGCCATCTTATTGATGCGATTCGTCTGAGTAAGCCTTGCACGGCCTTAGACATGTCTGCTACCGGCGAATATCTTGCTGCTAGTCTAGAAGACGAGCCAGGAGTCGCAATTTGGACCAATAAATCGCTCTTCAAGCATGTCTCCACGAGACAAATATCAGAAGATGAGATCGGACAGAGCTCTGCACCGACTGTGTCTGGAGAAGGAAACCAGGGCTTGTTGGAGGGTGCATTTGAAGACTCAAGGGATGATCTCGACGACGCCATCATTGCTCCTACTGTTGACCAGTTGAGCTCTGAACTGACCACCCTGAGTTTGGTCCCAAAAAGTCGATGGCAAACACTGCTCCATCTCGACCTGATCAAGGAACGAAATAAGCCGACAGAGGCACCAAAAGCTCCCGAAAAAGCTCCCTTCTTTCTGCCTTCGACAAGCAGTTCAAAGATGCCAGAGCAGCAGGCCATCGCAGAATCCACTGAGAATGAGTCAAAATCCCGCATCACAAAACTCGACGAGGCACGCTTTGAGGAGAAATTTACATCGAGGCTACGGCAGGGAGCGCAAACTGGCGACTGTATGTATTCACTTCCCTGCCTCCGACGTGCTACAATCGCACTGATGACGGTTGCTACTCTATGATACTAACCAACATGATGAATTATAGACGGCGCATTTGTTGAGCATCTCAAATCCTTGTCACCATCGAGTGCTGATCTGGAGCTTCGATCGCTATCAGGTGGCAATGGCGATGACGAATCAAACGAGCTTCTCCATTTCATCCGAGCACTTACTTCCCTTCTAAAGGCTCGGCGGGATTACGAGCTCACACAGGCTTGGATGACAGTGTTCCTTCGACTCCACTTTGATGTAGTAATGGGAAGTGAGCTTATCCTACGTGAGTTGGAGCAATGGAAGAATTACCAAGAGAAGGAGTGTAACCGGTTAGACCATCTCGTGGGTTACTGCAGTGGCGTTGTTAGTTTCCTAAGAAGCCCCCGTACATAGTCGCGTATAAATTTATGATATTGTTAAGCCCAGAGAACCCCTTGTAGCAAGGGATGAAATCGACCACATGTTCGTTCCAGCCCCTTTTAAATGTGCTCCCAAGGTCAACACTTGCCCTAAGCTATGACAATGCCAGTCAACAGTGTCTGTTCTTGGATAAAGAAATAAAAAAACAAGGCAGGCATCCGCCAAAGTCGTGCGCCCATGACTCCCGCAGGTGTCAATAAACTCGAACCGGCGCCGCAAGTATACAACACAGGCACATGTAAATCAAACTAACTTTGCGCCACTCGACGTACACATGTATGTACGTACTTGGATTCGCGCGGGCGCTTGTCCCGTATAAAAAACGCATGGCGGGGCATGTGCGTGCACTTGCTCTGCCAGCAACCTTTTTTTTTTTTTGGGCCAGTCGAAAATTTCCTCCAACAGCTCGATTCATCCCATCAGTACATCACCGCAATGGGCAA